ATATATATATATATATATATATATATATATATATATATATATATATATACATCTTAAAACTCACTGTACGCCTCCATTCTCTCTTGAAATATATACATATATAACACAGGACAAACTATGCCTCCAGCTAGCATGTTTATTTTTGCTTGACCCATATTTCTTTCTCTTTTCAAGATTGATCAATGAGATTAGTTCAAGAACGATCTCATGCTTAAGCGATGATTACACATATGACAATGGGGCCAATCGAAACACCGACAAAAAAAACTTTTTGCACATATTATGACAGTCTCCGAAATCCTCAGTATGGTCGGGGTGTGTCTAGGGTTGCGGATGATCACTCTTCCCTTGCACCTCGCGAAATGCTATCACACGATCGAGCGTCTCAAATAGCCTCTGCTGAGGAAGACCTACTCACCATCTCGTCAAAAGGGTGCATGATTAAATGAACTGGACACCAGCCTCCAATGGATCGCGGTTTTCGCAAACCGCCCCGCTGCCTTGCGGGTCAGGCTTTGCCTAGCCAAAGACTCCGGTTGTGGATTCCTCAAGAAAATTCACCTGCATTGGCCGGGGCAACCTGGCAGTATTCTGCCCACATGCAACTCATGGAACGTTTTTCTTTTTTTCATAGAGATTATTGTACCATGATGTGTTTGGCACACAATATGACCTCAGACAAGTGTGAAACAATGGAAACTAGCATGCGTAACAAAATCCCCCGTGGTTGACTGCACTTCGCCAAAGATGTACTTCCAAAGATGGAGGTTAGAAAGCAGGAGCCATTTGAACTATGGCACTGAAATACAAGATGATTAATACCTGGAGTGAGCAGAAGAAATGCGAAAGTGGACAAGATCCGCTCATTCAACTTACGCATCTTTTTCAAATAGCAAAACGCCAGCCAAATATCGATGCGCACTGAGTTCCGAGGTGGCCGATCGAGCCAGATCCACACGTCCGGGAACAAACAGATTCAACGCGACTCGATGGTGTCGATCGAACAGACCGTGATCACCCGCTTCGCGCCATAACTGATCTAGATAGGACAGGACTGTGTCGAAAGTCCCTGGATTCGTCAACCGGTTGCTTAGATCATCTTGTGATCGTGAGTTGGGAGGGAAGTGAGACGGGAGATCGTCGAAAATATTTGGATTGGCGAAGGACTACAGACAGGAACGGGGTAGGGTGGAAGGCAAGGTTATTGAAAAGAATGGAGGTTTATCATTACGAACGAGAAGAATCTGACGGAACGTACACAAGGAAAACATAGACTCTAACAAGCAATGTAACTAATAGCGTTGTTCTTCCGTGCTTGGATGTTGATACCACGATTGAAATTGGTTTTGTGATATAAACAACCAGCGCCTCGGTTATTAGGCTGTTCGACCCAGAGCCGAGACCTCATTTTCCTACTTTATCAATATGGTATTCATAACTGAAAATGAATAAGACATTCCCGTATGGGGGTCCAATTAAAATGTTGTAAAATCTTCTTTTATGAACGTCGACAAACAGAATTGAACGGCGCTCCCGTGTTGGTTATCGACCGAGTAGCTTAACGTATAAGAGTTTCTATTCCTACCCGGAGAGGAAGCGCGTTGGCACGCAGTAATTACGAGTTTCAATTGGGACGAAAAAGCTGTTCTGTACTTTCAGTCGGCCATTAAACCAAAATTCTTCGTATCGCCATCACGACGAGACTGCACCTTGACGTGGTGTAATGACTTGTGCACCTCTATGACCCAACGAGCTACACAGAATGGCTTTTGTTAAGCTGAAGATCTAATCATGCTTGGAAGGATGAATTCCAGTCTCCTAGTCCTCCAGGTTGGGGGTTCGACTCGAGTTAGCGTCTCAGTCGGTAAAAAATGATG